TGTCAGAATCATGCAATTCAATTTCAAGAACAAACCAAAGTCATGGCTGACTTACAATGGGTTTTAGCGCCTGAAAGTGCTTGTTCTTGATTGGTATGGCTTGCTTGTGATCCCAGGAAGCGAATGATATGGCTAGAGGGTCTTGAAAATGCCTGGAAATAGCAAAACGAATTACCACTTTTCTTTGTTTTTTTCAAGTTTGATTCTTGTTCTTGCGCCTCTCAAACCTTGTCTTTTAGGTCTGCAATTGTATACTATATACTGAGGAATGAATTAGGTTTAAAATTATGCTCTCAATCTTCCTCCATTATAGCTTTTGATTTGGATTTGATTCACTTGAAGATCTTTCTAAAAATAGGTCAAAACCAATCTTTTTGTGCACACAAAGGCTTTGCACGATTTCAATCTTTTGCTAGCTGGATATAGAACCTGAAACATGCACAATATCTTGAGGTTTCAATGATTTGGATTTTCTATGATTTGTTTTGATTTAAATTGATTTAATTCAAATAAAAATCAAAATAAATAATAAAAATAAGATAAAGACAAGTGGGACGAGCTACGACTCGTGGACCATGCTACCAACTCAGAACAAATGCAAAATATTGGGCCCATTTAGCAAAAATTGCAATTTGAGGCATAGTTGACTTTTGACAATTTTGCAAAAAGGGTCAACTTCACCAATGCATAACTTCCTCAATTTTGACTCTTTGAAGGTGTTCTTGAAATTTTTAGAAATATTAAGATGTACTCTAAGCAACCCTTTTGGTATCATCTCAATTTGGTATTCCATGTTCATGTATGAATCTTTGACAAAAAGGTGTTTTTGTTGACTTTTCAAAATGACCTATAATGTCAAAATTCATAACTTCTTGTGAGTTCATATTTTGAACTTGGGAGATGAAGATGAATTGTATATAATTGCATCCTATTCAAAATTAGCTTTGTATGGGTCATTTAGCATAAAGTATGAGAAAGTTATGATTGGTCAAAGTTGAGTTGACTTTTCCTACAAAACCCTAATTTAGCAACTTTTGGGTTTTGATGAATTGTGAGCAATCCTTGAGAAATCATGACCAACCCTTGATCAAATGATGAATAATACTTCAAAATGAGGATGTTGACCAAAAATATTGAAGTTTGACTGTATGTAGGACACAGTTGACTTTTGCCCTAGCACAGTCAATTATCAGGCCTTTGAGCAATTGACTGAGCAAACTTCCTCTACAAGGCTTGAAACTTGACATGAATGATCTTGAGAACATATTAGGACAATGTTGAGCATTTTGGATACCTTGGACTCAAGTATCTTGATGCAACATGAAACCCTAATTTGAGCTAGACTGCCTTAGGAGAGAGTTTGTCTGGTCAACCCTTGGCCTTCCTTGAGCAAGTTGAGGATCTCACTTGAAATGTTTTGAGAAATATGAGAGGGAAAATTTTGGGGTACAACAGTAGAATTTGGTGATCTGAGCTAAAAGTTATTCATTTTTGAAATCAAGAAAAACACACGGGTATTTGACACTTAGAAAAATTCTAAGTATGAAGCCTCAAAATGACCTATAATGTTCTTCAAAGTTACATGCCCTTCCACTCAAAATTTGATTTGATCCTTGAAGATGAAATTAATTAGGCCCTTTTAATTGAATTATGGAATTGAGATCAATTAAAAATCATAAAAAATGAAAGAGTTATGGTCTTTGAAAGATGATGAACAAATTTGGAAAAATTCACAAAAGAACTATAATCTTTTCAATTCTTAAACAAACTTCCAAGAATTTTCATGCCTAGCACCTTAAAACATAGTTGTAGTAGACATGCCAAAGATTATTGTGAAAAAAGAATGAGCTCAAGGAGATAAAAGATGATAAAATTATGATCCTTTGAAGTCAAACCCTAAGATTCAAAGGCTTTTCAAAGGGACTTGTAATCTTTTTCAAACTTAAATGGTCATCCATGCCAAATTAGCCTTTGATCCTTGAAGAGAAGATATTAAGGACTCTTTAAAGAGATTAATGGCTTTGGAATTAATCAAAAATCTCAAAAAATGAGTAAGATATGGTCCTTGGAAGTCAGCAAACCCTAGTTCAGAGAGTGTCAAAATGACTTGTAACCCCTTTCAACTTTTGATGAATTTTCTTACACAATTGGGTCTTGTCATGTGAAGAGAAGTTGTTGTAGATGATGATAAGAACCCATATAAAAAATAACCAACTCAAAATATTGAAATTTGAAAGATTTATGTACTTCTGATCACTGAATCAAGCACTTGCTCAATTAGGTCAAACTCGTTGAATCAACCTTGAATCTTTTGAACTTTCTTTGAAAAATAGAGAATGATGGATCATATTAGACATTGAAATGATGTTCTATTGAAACACACTCAAAGGTGGAGCTTAAGTCTCAATGAAACTTGTTGAAGAAGGCATGAAAGTAAATACATGAACCTATGAATCAACTTAATGTATGCCACCACCAACCTTGAGGAAAACTTGACCTAAATAAGGTGAGAGAACTCTTTGAACCAAAAAACTTTGATATCATAGACATATCCTTGAAGCTTAAGCTCTTTCCATCCATTGAAGAACCATTTGACTGAGGATTATCCCTCAAAACCCTAGTTTAGATGGTGAGATGGATGCAATTGTGTCATCACCTACAATATGAACATCCAAAGAAATAGACACACACACACACACACACACACACACACACACACACACACACACACACACACACACACACACACACACATATATATATATATATATATATATATATATATATATATATATATATATATATATATATATATATATATATATATATATATATATTGATGTTAGTTAAAAATTAATCCACCTAAAAAAAACCCATGTACAAGATACACAAATCAAGGTGTTTTTGGTGATCCCTCAAGCTCAAACTTAAAGATAGGATGAAGTAGAAGGGAGAACCACCCCTAATGTGTGATCTTGATATATTGATAACATGAGATAATGAGAGGCCTTATGAGAAAAAATTGGGGTATAACAGATAACATTAAACATTTTTAACAAGAAATTATTAGAGAAGATATTACATTAAGAAACCAAACTTGAAATATTTTTCCGCTCTTGCTTTTATTATCATTGTTTTTATTATGTTAAGTTTATATTCAACACTTTTGCATCCCAAGATGGATAGTTGTGGCATTCACGTTCTGATTGGTTAGTGAGAGTTTCACGTGGATCACTAATGTTTCATGTGAATTGATGAGTTGACAATGTTTTGATCATTGTTACTTTATAAATGGACGTCAAAGGTTCGTTACTTAATTTTTTCATCAAATAGGTCATAAAAAAAAACAAAAATGCTACTTTACCCTTCGGTTTCTAGTTCAACTGAGATAATAGGTCATAAAAAAATTAAAAGATGATAAAATGTAGTTGTTGAAAATCGAAGGTGTGCCCTCTAAATATTTTACCCCTCAGTTTCTAACCAACCGAGATAATAGGTCATAAAAAATATTTAAAAAAATTACAAGGTGTTAAAATGTAGTTATTGCGATTCGAACGCGTGCCCTATAAATACTTCACCCCTCATTTTTCAGCTCAACCGAGGTAATAGATCATAAAAAAATATTAAAAGATGCTAAAATGTAGTTGTTGAGATTCGAAGACGTGTCCCCTAAATACTTTGTTCCTCGGTTGTCAGCTTAATCGAGTGAATATATGATATTTTTTTAAAATTAAAATATGGCGCGCCTATGATTTGCACCACAGTTTTTTATTGGTTAAAGTGAAAATTTTGTCAGAAAATATATTATTTGTAGTAGTATATTTGTCTCTATTGCCTTTTTGATTATGCCAAAGGGGGAGAATAATATTATTAAGGGGAGTATAGTATACTCTCTTTATATGTAATGAGGGATTTAATTACTCTAAATATTTATTCGCTGTTTTCTTTGTTTACCACCTCTCAGAGATATGTGTTGTCATCATCAAAAAGGGGAAATTTTTAGATCTATATGCTTGCAGATGATCGTCAGTTGGTTTTGATGATGACAACTGATGAAACATCTTTCAAGATGACAACTCAATAAGTCAAACGACTTTTGGATGTTGAGAGTTATTTTTGACAAGGGAAATTGAGTTCAACTGTCAAATAAAGTATCTGATGATGACACTTGATCAAGAAGATATCTCAAATCTCATTAGTCAGACAATTTAAGAATTCAATTGAAGTACTAATCAAGGTGTTGAATCAAGTAGAGAATCTTGAAGTTTAAAAAAGAGATAATGTGAAAGCTCGACTAATCCTCCATTTAGTGTCTTAGCGTGACCAGTTAAACTATAAAAGATCAAGAGTAAATCTTGAAATATTAAGGCAAATTACATTCAGACAAAATCTTTCAAAACTTCTGAAATCATTTACATGAAAATGTTTGTATACATGTATGTAATCTATTATTAGTTTGGTTAATCAATTAGAAAAAAAATTTACACTTAAAAAAATAAAGTTATGTTACTTAAAAAAAAAAGAATGATTTAAAAATAATTTTGACATAATTTTTGTTTATGAAAGAGCAAAATTGATTGTGTTTTTCTTGCACAAAGTCTATTCATAGAGAAAATTATGTCAATTAATAAATGAAGACAACTTTTAATATGTTTAATCTATGTTAAAAAGTACTATTCTTATAATTTGTGTGTACATGAGGTAGTATTATAAGTTTCCCCCTTGTTTATAAAGAACATGTAAGAAATCTGTGGTCAGAATCCAGTTACCTCAAATTTGAGAGACAGTATCTCTATCCGAATCCACAACCTTGCCACATGGCATCCAACAAAACATTTAACATTACCTTAAACCATCCAATGAGATATCACCTTATCCTATCCAAAATCTTACTCATACCATAGCCACCAAATAATTGCAACCTTCACATTCTCAACCAACACAAAAACTCTTGAAAACTAGTTAGTTTGTGGAGAACACAGAAATAGTTAACAGGAGTCATGGCAGCCTCACTTCAAGCAGCTGCTACTCTCATGCAACCTACAAAGTTGCGTAGCAACACTTTGCAGCTTAAGTCTAACCAATCTGTTTCTAAGGCCTTTGGTTTGGAACACTATGGAGCTAAGGTTACTTGTTCCCTTCAGTCTGATTTCAAGGAGTTGGCTTACAAGTGTGTTGAGGCTTCTAAGATTGCAGGATTTGCTCTTGCCACTTCTGCTCTTGTTGTCTCTGTATGTTGCTTTACCTCTATTCTTTTTCTTCCAATTGCATGAATATTTTGAATTGTTAAGTTTATGGTTCCACCACTACACTATCCTGCTAACTTTATGAACTAAGTGTTGCTAATTTTATCAAGTTTTGAACTCTTGGATTAGTTGTGATGAATCTTCTGTTGGTTTGAAGTAGTTACTACAAATTAATATGTTTAAGAATATTAATTAGACAATAGCAAGTTGGAATATAAAGCAAAGTAAAGACTAAACATGAAAGGACCTAACTTGAATTCACTTTGGATCCTCTCGGTCTCACCAACGAAACGTCAGATGTTGGATTCCAAAGGCTAAAAGTGTAATACTTTTAGCTGTTGGATAAATCCATCGGTTGACGTTTGGTTAGTGATACAAGAGAGGATCCAAATCCATTTGAATGAGATTGTAATTTATTTATGCAAGGATCAACTATGTATGACTAAGAATAAGAACATAAATGAATTCAGGGAGCAAGTGCAGAAGGTGCTCCAAAGAGGCTAACTTTCGACGAAATCCAAAGCAAAACATACTTGGAAGTCAAGGGAACAGGAACTGCAAACCAATGTCCAACCATTGATGGAGGAGTAGACACATTCGCCTTCAAGGAAGGAAAATACAATGCCAAGAAACTCTGCCTTGAACCAACTTCATTCACAGTAAAATCAGAAGGCGTAACCAAAAACACTCCACTCGCATTCCAAAACACCAAGCTCATGACACGTTTAACCTACACTCTTGACGAGATTGAAGGGCCATTCGAGGTTTCAGCAGACGGGAGTGTGAAATTTGAGGAGAAAGACGGAATTGATTACGCTGCAGTCACCGTTCAGCTTCCTGGAGGCGAGCGTGTGCCATTCCTTTTCACCATCAAGCAGTTGGTAGCATCAGGGAAACCTGATAGCTTCAGCGGTGAGTTTTTGGTGCCATCATACAGAGGAAGCTCTTTCTTGGACCCAAAGGGAAGAGGTGCATCTACCGGTTATGACAACGCGGTTGCATTGCCAGCTGGTGGAAGAGGTGATGAAGAAGAACTTGGAAAGGAAAACAACAAGAGTGCTGCATCATCAAAAGGGAAAATCACATTGAGTGTTACTCAGACTAAGCCCGAGACCGGTGAGGTTATCGGTGTGTTTGAGAGTATTCAGCCATCTGATACTGATTTGGGAGCAAAAGCTCCAAAGGATGTTAAGATCCAAGGTGTTTGGTATGCTCAGCTTGAATCATAGATAGCTTCTTTGTTATGCTTTGTTTTGTTGTAAACTTCAGCATGTTGATGCATTATCCTTTGACTAAACAACTTTCAAGAGCTGAGAGGATTATCTTGTTTATATATTATATCGCTGTTCAATTACAATATGCTTATAATCTCGAGGTTAATTAAATTTCTATGGTATTTTGTTGTTGATTTTTTTTTTTGAAATGTCTTTGTTTTTGTTACTCATTCCAAGGAGAATTCATGGTTTTTTGTTTGATTATAGTTTTGCCAAACCTAAACAGAAAATGTGAGAACTACAACACCCTGAAAATTTGCAGGGCACCGGAATCCTTCTAGTTCTTATTATGAGCATCTCTAATGATGTTACTCATATTTGGGTTCTTTGTGGGACCCATTAAGTCACATCATTTTGAAGCAACTCATTTCATTTTTTATTTTAATGGTGCAATTTTAAAGAATTTATATTGGGTCCCACAATTTTACTTTATATATTAATATTTTATTCATACTAAATTTTATTTGATTTAAAATAATAATTTAAATTATTTAAATTTAAATTAATATAAAATAAATAAAATTAAAATTAAACATAAAATTTAAAATGATAATTAAAATTAATCTCAAATACATGACATAATTAAAAACAATAAAAATAAATTACATAACATAATTACTCAAATTTAATTTCCATCGTCCTCATGTCCAAAACGTTCCCAAATATGCTCGACTAGATCTCCTTGAAGTTGGCGATGAACTTGTTTTTTACGAAGAATTGCTCTTCTTTGTAGTGTTGTTGCAAGATTCGGATGAGGACCATTAAATGTTTTAGTCGTTGAGTTTTTGTTACCGACATTATCGTAAGAGTAATCAAAATCACCTCCATATGTGTGTCGTTCGTCTTCGACAATCATGTTGAGCAATATGATGCAAGCATATATGGTATGCTTGAGGGTTTCCATGTGCCAAGCACGCGCTGGACCACGTATTATTGCAAAACGAGATTGAAGCACTCCAAATGCCCGTTCCACATCCTTTCTATTTGATTTTTGGTGTTGTGCAAATAGTTTTCTCTTTTCTCCTTGTGGCATCGAAATAGTTATGACAAATATAGTCCACTCATGATATATTCCATCCGCTAAATAATACCCCATATTATAAGGAGTTCCATTGATTGTATATTGCACATTAGCAGCACGTCCTTCCAAAATATCATTAAACACATTGGATTGGTTTAACACATTAATATCATTATTTGAACCTGCAATACCAAAAAATGCATGCCAAATCCATAAGTCTTGTGATGCCACTGCTTCAAGCATGATTGTGGGTTTACCATGATCACCTCGACAAAACTGTCCTTTCCATGCAACAGGACAATTCTTCCATTCCCAGTGCATACAATCAATGGAACCCAACATACCTAGAAAGCCACATGACTCACCCATTTGTAAAAGATGTTCAATATCAGTGTTGTTAGGCTTTCTCAAATACTCAGCCCCAAATACAACATTCACGCCCTTAACGAATCTTTCTAAGCACTCAATTGAGGTACTTTCACCGATTAGAACATATTCGTCTACAATGTCAGCGGGAGACCCATATACCAACATACGAATAGCAGATGTGCATTTCTGCAATGGTGAAAGACCCATCTTACCAGTTGCATCGATCTTCATTTGGAAATATTCATCATGATTGCCGAGGGCATCTACAATTCGAAGAAACACATGCCTATGCATTCTGAACCTTCTTCGGAATTGTACATCTGTGTATACTGGATTTTCTGAGAAGTAGTCATTGAATAACCGATTGTGCCCTTCTTCACGACCTCGATCTACCGTAGTTCTTCTCTTTTGCCTAGAGGAACTTCCAAATTGACATTCATTTTGAAGATGTTGTTCTTCATCACTGTCGTCCATAAATTCTTCTTCAACTAACTCCCAAAATTCTTGATCGTAATTATCTAAATTGTCTAAATCCATTTTAGTGAGGAATAAGAAGAGAATGAGAAAACAATGACATAAGGGGTAGTATATATAATGGTTTGAATAAAGGCTAGTTATTCATAACGGCTAGTTTGAATAACGGCTAGTTTGAATAACATAATATTTATTATGATTTAAAGTGGTACTAATGAGCATTTTACATAGGATTTGATAAATTAAAGTGGTACTAATGACTATTTTACATATAATTTAAAGTGGTACTAACTACAGTCCATATTTTTTTTCTTCATTTTATTACAATATTTTTCATGAATATCTCGTTGATTTTTGTTCATAGTAGAAGTGTCTTTCATCATGATTTGCATTACCTTTAATTCTATCTCGTCCTCCTTACTTTGCGCAAGTCTATCCATTGTTTCTTCTCTTTTATTCCTTGCATCTTGCGTTGCATTTGAAATTTCCTTTGCCTTACCCTTCCTTTTTGCTGCTTTTTGTCCCATTGGACGCTCCATTGGTGATGATGAGTTAAACTCATAACTTGAAGGTGTATCAGGGATCTCCGATGATGCCCCACTAGCAGAAGTCTGTGTCATTTTTGAAGAATTTCCAATCGATTCTCCGATGATGCCCCGTTTAGCTTCATCTTTTAACAATCGTCATGCATACTCAAGATTGAATGTTGTACCTTGATCTTGAGCATAAAAAGCATGTGCAACAACCATGATATCGTTCTCCGATGTCCCACTTTTCTTTCCATTGACAACTTGTCTATAACACCCAACAAATTTTTGAACCGACGCATTTATTCGATGCCATCGACATTTTAATTAACCACTTAACTTTTCTCGCAATTGCCCGCGATACTGGTTATAATTTGCAGCGATTCTATGCCAAAAACTCTCAGCTTTTTGATCAACTCCCATAATTGGATCCTTTGAAACATTGAGCCATGATTGGATAAGACATATATCCTCATCCCTTGTAAATTTCTCTCGAGATTTTTTTTAACGAGAACCCTTTCTTCTTTTTCAACACCAACTTGAGTAGAAAATGGTGGAACTTGAGAATTTTGAGGATTAGGATTTTGATACATATTTGGATTGTTTGGTGACGGAAAAAATATGGCGGGGTTTGGTGGTACTGATGGAATTTGAGAATTTTGAGAATTAGGATTTTGATAATTTTGCATGAAATTGAACATAGCTTGTTGATAATGAAAATGATTAGGATCCATTTGGCCTAAACATATGTAATTTGAAATAAAAAGATGAAAATTTGAAATAAAATGATAATGAGAAGAAATTGTTGGAAAAAAATTAAAAATTTATGAATAAAATGATGAAATTGTGAGAGAGAAATTTGAAATTAAAGAGTAAATAAAAGTGAGAGAAAATAGGATTGGTATACAATTTTCCAACAAACCTATATTTATAATAAATAAAAAAAGTTTAAAAAAAAAATAAAAAAATAAAGTCGTTGCACAACGGCTAATTGATTATTTTAATAATAAAAAAATATGAAGAGCCGTTGCTTATATTTGTACCGTTCACCAGCTGGAACAACTTTTTTGTTGACAATTTCAATACCAAGCTGGCAAACCAATCTGAAAAACCACCGTTGGAGGTGGTCTAAGCTTCTTATAAAGTGACAAAAATAGGGTTTTTTTCTCTCTCTTTGTGAATATATAAGGTCTATTTAATACTCCCTCTCTAATGATATATAAGCAAATTTTAATTTTTAGATTCATTGAATAATTAATGTATCTGATCTATATATAGACCAAATACATTAATTATTTAATAAATCTAAAAAGTAAAATTTGCTTATAAATCGTTATGGAAGAAGTAAGATGTAATAGAAATAGTCATATAATGTGGAACTAGTTTTGATGCAGGATGAATCATTCTGAGACAGCAAAATATGGTGGACCTACAAAGTTAATATTATGACAATCAAGTTAGTGAAGTATTTTATTATATATGTAAATATAGAAAGATTATTATTAGTATTAATTACAAATGATTATTAGAATCACAACCACATATTTGTATTGTGTATATAAATGACTATCAGATCAATGAAAAGACGCGACCTAAATCATCTTACATGGTATCACACTTGGTTTGGTCCCAAACCCTAAAACCAGCCGCCAACCTTCTTTCTTCCTATCATTCATTCTTTTTTCTCTTCAACCGCTACAAAATAGCCATGACTACCACTATTGATTCCTCCAACAATAACTCTTCTCCATACTCCACCAGTCATACCGACCCTCCTCCTTCACCTCCTACTCCTACGCCGACTCATCATGCTCTCACTATCCCAAATATTACTAATTTCATCAAGATTACCCTGAGCATTGAAAAGGGAACGTGTAACACGTGGCCAGAAGTTTTCAAAATTCATGCTCGAATTTTTCAAGTGATTGACCATACCATTCCCTCTGAACTAGCCACAGATCCCTCTCTCAAAACTATCGACCCACAATTATGGCTTCGTCTCGACTCCGTCGTTTTGCAGTGGATATATGGAACAATCTCCGATGATTTTCTCAACACTATCATCGAACATAATTCCACCACTGGAATCGCGTGGAATCGCTTATTCGACATCTTTTATGATAACAAGAATTCTAGGGCTCTCTACCTAGAGCAAGAATTTTCGCAATCTCATCTGGAGCAATTCTATGATGCTTCCTCCTACTGTCAGCATCTCAAGTATCTCTCTGATCAACTAGCTAATGTTGGTGCCCCTATATCGAATGAACATTTAGTTCTCATTTCGAGACTAACCGGTGCATATGCTGCTGTGGGATCCCAAATTCTTCATGCTGATTCACTTCCTCGGTTCTATAAAGCTCGTACCATGATGATATTGGAAGAAATAACACTGCAGAAAAAGGTGTCAAGCTCAGTCGAAAATTCATCTTTCACGGTGTCTCATAATGATGCACCAATTGATTCATTGACATCCCGTCCTAACCGCAACAACAACAACCACAATCATGGCGGCCGAAGCTGTTATAACATAATTTGGTTCTACATCCCAACAAGAGTTTTGATGATAACAAACACATGATATAAAGAACAAATATGCTTGCTAAGAAAAAGTATCTTTACATGCAGGATGTTTTGATGTTAAAAAGATATTCTGATGCAACTGGAAGTTCTGCAAGAACATCATCAGATGTTCTGATTATGCGAGCATAGAAGTTGAGAGGACAATGAAAGATTCAGCAGCATCAAATATGCATGACACGCTTATATGAAGAAGTTCTGTTTGAACTTATGAATGCACCAGTGCTGAGAAACAGAATCTCTGATACTCTGATGTGGAAAATTATGATCAAGCTGTAAAGAACTCTCAACGGTAATACTCATCTTCTGATGTAAGAAGTTCTGAAGCGTTACAACTCCATCAATGCAAGATCACAAGTAACGACTACAAACAGACAATGATCTCCTGATTTGGAAAGCTCATTAACGCGTGTTATGGACATACCAAAAGTATCTTCTTATGTCTCTATTGCAAGGCCTATTTAAATTTGACAAGAAGAAGATTTCAAGATGATGAACAACTGCGTTCAAAAAGAAAAACTCACGTGAAAAGTAAACAACGCAGCTATCAATCTTCATCCTCAACGTTCAATATTAAATTGTGTAAAACATTACAAGTTTGTGATACTGTTTATTTAGAAACATCATTGTACACTTTTATACAATTATCTGTTTAGTGAATTTCCTTGAGAAAACTGGGTTGTGGTTTTGGACTCAAGAAGACTTTAACAGTTGTTAAAGTAGAATTGTAATCAAGTTTGATTAGTGAATTAAGTCCTCGTTGGAGAGAGGCGAAATCACCTTGGCGGGTGGACTGGAGTAGTTTGAGATCAAACGAACCAGGATAAAAATATCGTGTCTACTGCTTTTGATTTTAAGATTCCAATTCAACCCCCCCTTCTTGTGTGTTTCACTTCTTCAATTGGTATCAGAGCACCTGGATCTGGGTGCAAACACTTAACCGTGTCAGATAAAGATCCAAGGGGGAAAAACACTATGATGGGAACAAGTCAGAACATCAGCAGTAGCCCTCCAATATTTGACGATGAAAATTTTAACTACTGGAAGGATATGATCAGAAGCTTATTCCTAGCCTATGATGCTGACCTCTGGGATGTGGTAACTGATGGATACATATATCTTGTTGATGAAAGCGGTCAGAAGATTGACAGAAAAAGGATGATAGATCATCAAAAGCAAGACTTCAGAAATCATCACAAGGCCAAAATGATTCTCTTGAGTGTCATCTCATATTCAGAGTATGAGAAGATTACAAACAGAGAAACAACTAGGAACATGTTTGATTCTCTGAGAATGACGCATGAAGGCAACCTGCAAGTAAAAGAAACCAAAGCCCTTGCGCTCATTCAGAAGTATGAAGCCTTCAAATTGGAAGAAGACGAAACCATTGAAGCAATGTTCTCTAGATTCCAAACTCTGGTGGCAGGGCTAAAGGTGCTGGACAAAGGATACTCAACTGCTGATCATGTAAAGAAGATCATCAGAAGTTTACCAAAACAATGGAGACCAATGGTCATGGCTCTCAAAATGGCAAAATATCTGAACATAATATCTCTAGAAGAACTTGTCAACTCCCTCATAAGCCATGAGATAGAGTTAGAAGATGATGAGTCTCAGAAGCAATGTAAGTCTCTCGCTCTGAAATCTAATAAATATGAAACCAAAATTTTACAGGCAGAAGCAGAAGCAGAAAACTCTGGAGAATCCTCGTCAGAAGAAGACAAACTGTTCCTTCTATCCAGAAGAATCAATCAGCTGTGGAAGCACAGGCAGAAGAGTTTCAGAAACTCTAGAAGAACAGGAAATGACTTTGAACAATCCTCTGGATACAGAAAATCAAGTAACAGAATCATTACCTGCTATGAATGCAATAAACAAGGTCACTACAAAAGCGATTGTCCAAGGCTTCAGAAGGAGAAGCCCAAAAAGAAGTTCTTCAAGGAAAAGAAGAAGAGCCTCATGGCAACATGGGACGATTCATACTCCTCTGAAGCTGACTCAGAGTTAGATGATGAAAGAGAAAACATAACTCTCATGGCAAACGTGTCAGAAGACTGAAGTTTCTGGTTCAGACTCAGAATTAGACACTGAAGAGGTATTCCCTAACTTTGCTATTAATTTCACTAAAGCTGAACTTGCAGAAAGTCTAAATGAAATTCTGGAAAGGTATCAGCCAATTAGAGTCAAATTCAAGAACCTGAAAAAGGAACTTGTCTCTGACTCTGAAAATACTGAGAGTCTCAGATTAGAAAACTCTGAGTTAAAAGAAAAAATTTCAAAACTAAAAAATGATTTACAAAACTCTCAGAAGGAAATAATCTCAGAGGATCCCAGTAATGCCGATAAGATCATAAAGGAATATGATCAAAGCTTTCAGAAGTTTCTGGCTAACAACATAGATAGAAGCAAAATGGCTTCAATGATCTATGGAGTCA